AATATATATATATATATATATATATATATATATTTTTTTTTTTTTTTGATGCCCCTTTTAAAAATATGCCTTTTTGCATATGATATTCCCTCTTGTTCCCTTGGATTTAAAGCCAATACCTTTTTCTAGGCAACTTAAAGCATATTGTTAGTGTTTTTCACATGAAACTATTTAACTAGAACAAAGTTCAGACCAATATGTACCTAGTGTATTCCTTACAAAAACAATCAGGATCAATAATTTAGAGCTTAAAGAAAACCAGATATGGGAGCATTCACAAAAGGTTAAATCAGTGCATCTCAGGCCATAATGCCAGTCAGACTTTACCTAGCCATATGGATGGCAAAGGCTACAGAATAAATTAAACATACAGCCCCAGATATATTTTTGAACAAACTACCAAACTTTTTTAGTGGATTGTTGGAAAAACCATAAAACTTTAGGGCTCTTAAAACTTGTATGGCAGGTATATTCTACCTCTGCTGAAGGTTGTTCCAAAATATGCACAAGGCTATAAAACTATACTTTTTAAACCTACCTGATGTGAATTAAAGATTACAAGCAGCAAAATAGATTAAACATTTAAATAAAAATTGTAAGATTTGTGTGTCTATTTTTTAAAGCAAGTTAAAGCCTGGTGTTAATGCTTTAACCAGGCTGACATTCTTATTGATTTACGGGTTAAGATCAATGGAAAAAAAACAACTTTGCTCAGTCTTAAGCGTCTGAAACAGGCTCCAAGGTCAGAAAAAGCCTATTGATTGTGAGCAATCAATAACTTCTTGAAGTCAGAACCACTGAGAAATGAGCTGACTCGAAGCAGAGTGGAGAGAGAGGCTTCTCTGCTCAGAATAGTCTGGAGACAAATCCTCATTGAAAACCCTTTTATCCAAAGTAGCCTACAGATAGGACCCTACCACTGTTCAAGCAATTCTTGGTGCTTTTTGGATATGATCTCACACAACTCAAGAAGCTCACTGGAAAAAATGGATATCTAGATAAGTAATAAGTGCATTTGTTCTTGAATTGAGGAGGTAAAAGAGACATTTTGCCAATGGAACAAGACAATTTACATTTAAAATAAGAAAACACAATTGCATTATCTTATTTCAAGTGCATTTTATCTAATTATCTTATTTTAAGAGTAAAAATACTCATTCCATTGGCAAACTACCTAATTTACCTACTTAAAATAAGGATAAATGCACTTAATTTAAGAAACATTTACGGTACTTATTTCTAGATCGTTTTTGCAGCACTCAACAGAAAACAAAAGGCAAAATAATCAACTTCCCACTAAAAGCGCTGAATTGTTTGGATCACAACCAGAGGAGGGTAGGGTGTTCAAAAATGAACTTAACCCTTGCTAACACACCTGAAAAGTAAAAACGCACATAATTTTTTTTTTTATTTTATTGATGCAAATAATCCAGAAACAAGCAATGAGTCTGTATGCTCTATGTTAGATGGATATGCTCACAGTAGCCTGAAATCTATGGTTAAAAATACTTATGTATTTATGTAATTGTCTAATAGTGTAAATAAACCTGAATTCTGAGTTTTAAATGACTGTAAGCCAAAATAAAAACAAAAAATATAAATATAGTAAAGGAATCCATTGAATGAGTTTCACCTTTAAAGCTAACTTGCTGATTTAATTTCTGATCATATAATAACTAACCAAGATGCATCTGTAGATTTGAAGTATTAGGTTTAAAATGAGCAAATCGCACTTTAAGACCTTAGACTGCGACACCATATATGCTTAGACAAGCAGCATGGGATTTAATATATTGTTTGAAAGGTAAAGCCTTATTTTTCTATCAGGAAAAGGTGGTTTTAGTGGTGACCAGTGAGTGCAAACACTACCGGTAAAGAAAAGGAAATTTTTTTTTTTTTCTTTTACATCTTAATAGTCTATCATATACAGGCTCACCTAAAGAAACAGCATATCTGGTCAAAAAACACACAAGCTCATGTTTACCTCGCCCTCTTTATATATATTCTCTGCTGTACAAAATTATCTTAAATATATTAGTTTTCTTTTTAATCTCTTTTTCTTATAACTGAAGTCCAAAACTTCTCTATATGTTCTTTTTAATGTTTTTTTTTATTTTATTGCTGTCTTGGGGAAGAAGAATTTGGAAAACAAAGATAATGTTGGGTATTTTTACCTTTTTTTTTTTATAATAAATTTTAGTTAAGTAAGTGGGACTTATACCCTTAATGTTAGTGTGAAAGCATACAAAGAATTAACAAGACAAAATCTTGAGAAAAAAAACGCTAAATTAAACCTCAACCAATCAGACGTTTTCAATTATCTTATCAGTGTCATTTGTTCTAATATACCAGCATGAGTTCAGCATATCTCATATTTGCAAACTGGCACATTTCACTTTTAGCACCTATATTTTGCCAACATCTGTAGATAAATATGATGGGTAAAATATTATTAGCTTATACACTGGGTGCTCTTCGCCTCCATTTAATAAATGTCATAGACTAGATGTAGACTGTTCAATCAGCCTGCATTTCTTATTTTGATCTTTTTTCTCATTGGAGGGTATAAAAAAAAAAAGAATAAACTGATTTAGCTCTTTAAAACTCATAAGCTCAACTCATTAGGAAAATATAAGTGAAATCCTTTAAACATTTAACCTCTGTTGATTTCTGTAATTTGAAGCTTAGGATCGATTTCTTTATATTATCTTTTCAGTATTTTTTTGCTGCTTGTTTTTAAATAATTACTTCCTACTTACTTTACTTAAATCAGTTAACAAGCCTTAAGGTAAGGAATAACATCTATGTTATGATGGACAAATAGATAATAAAGTGACACAGAACAAATGTCCTTTACACATTTCTTCAGTTTTTGATATTTTTGCCAAAGATTTAAGATCGTCCATCTTCTCCAGCTTATTCCGCCAGGGTCACATTGGGGCCGATGCCTGAGGGCAATTTAGAGAACCCAATAAAGGGAGTACCCAGAGAGAACCCGTGCATTCACAGAGAGAACGTGCATGTGCAAAAGATTTCCTAGGCCAGGAATCAGACGAAAACCTTCTTGCAACAGTGCTACAAACTGCAACACCATGCAGCTGATTTAAGATCAATAAAGAAATATTTTAAGTCAAACAAAGATCATAAATGCTGGGTTTGAGTGAGCCATATGAGATCTGTAATGTAACCTCTTGGATGATGCTTTGATAAATTCTGCTATGTTGTCCACTCCTGAGAAGGTTCTCCATTTGTACACAGTTCCTTAATAGGACTTTGAAGAGTACATGCATATAAAGATGTAAAACACTGGGTTTCTTTCTGGGTTAATTACCAGAAATGTAAATGAGAGCAAATGTGGCCTTCAGATGCTAACACGAGAAGTTATTTCAGCTTAGACACAATAGCAACCAAATGATAAGACACTGCAATGGTCATGCTATACATCTGTGCCGTCTCCGTCCATCTTCGTTGTCAATTTGTGTACTGCATATAAAAGAGTATGTTTTTTTAATATTCAATACAGAATGTGCACATAATCAGCAGCAAAATGTATGTTTTCGTCAGTGATTTATTCTGTAAACTTAAATTTTCTTAAATTAGGCTGTTTTTATTTTATTAGAGTATCAAACCATTTCCAACTGTAGTTATCTTTGCAATATCAATGTGTACAATGTTGTAATCTCAATGGACAGCTTGAATGCAGCGTTAGGGAGGTCATACTTAAGCTCCCGAATCAACAAGTTCCTCATGCAAAAGTGATATATATTTAAATTACTTGATGGATGTAGATTTTCCCAAATGTATGTGTATTTTTAGTGGCTTAGACACTAAGGTACGGTTGGATCATTGTAACGAAAGAAGAGTTAAGAAAATGCAGGCCTCTCATTTTTAATATGGGAAACTAAATAGTCATAGCAGTTACATGTTCCTGCATTATGCAACCCTGTTGTTTTCATTTGGAAGTCAGTCAGTTAGCTTTCATCTTTGAAAGAAAGTACATTTCTTTAAGATTTTTCAAATTTGTTCAAGTCAAGACTGACTTAAAATAGTACAATAGCTGTAACCTATTTCCAGAATATGATTTTGCAGTCTAACACTTGTGAATTTCACCAAAACTCTCAAATGGCCTACTTAAATTCTCATTATCATTGCTGCATGAACATTTTGTTTCTTTTAAACTTTTTCCATCCACTTAATTTTCCATTGACAAACAGCCCTCTGAACAGCTTGTTTACAGATCTACCCTGCTGGTAAGAGGGTTTCAGGGATTTTTGCTTGCAAGCTGAAAAGTCAGCAATGTTTTTTTCCATCACAACATAAAATGTCTGCATTTAAAATCTTCTTTATAAGTTGTGTAATGTTTTTTGTTTTAAAAAAAATATAAAACATTGTCATAATCATGATTAGCAACACGTTAAATTTATAAATTTTTAAGCCAAATATTTTAAGTACGGCACTTTAGATTTTTGCTTATCGAGATTGATCTAGTCTAGCCTCTCTTCTATTTTTCAAATTGTGCCTTTATTACGCTTCCATTTCTTTTTCAAGTTTTGACTTGTTTCATGTGATGGTGGCAGTCCGTTTCAGAAGCCTACCAAAACATTTAGCATTTTAGGAGGTAAGAAATGGGAATTTAAATGCATTTCAATTTTTCATAAATTTTAAGTCACTGAAATTATTACAAAAACCTGCATAATTTATGACATTTTCCGTTCCTGTTTAAACGATTTGCAACATTGATTGTTGGAACCTCTCTGGTGTGCAGTCTAAAAGCAGAAAACAAAGATCCTCAACAGAAATGCATGAATAGATATTTATGCAAGAAATGGAGAAAGGAACACAGTATGCAAGGACGTCACATTGATTTGGGCCAAAAGAGGTAGCTGATGTCACTTTTCTTTTCAAGCACGATAGCAATGCAGGTCTATTTGCATACAATGCATCCCGAGGATATATTCTTATGTAAAAACACAATGTTTACAAACAGAAACATTATGCATTTACAAAAGCACCTGTACAAATACATGTTTGCAAACCCACAGCAAAACATCTAGAAGATTTATCTGAACACATAGACATTCTTATTGCCATGTGAAACGTTAAAAAAAACAAAAAGAAAAAAACAAGAACTGGGGGTTCTTCTGTACATCAGAGGGTCGTCTCTGAGCCACATTTAGCCAAGAATGTTAATGCATGTCAAGTGGCTGTTTCCTATGATAAAAAAGGCAGCACACAAAGAGAAACACTTAATAAGTTTGTTATTATACAATCAGCATTTCAACATAACTGAAAAAATGAGTAGGGTGTACATTAATAAATGATCTCAGGGCTTTAATGATGGAACAGCGAAGGTCTAAAATAAATGAGGATTTAGGTGCTTTAATATTGGAATAAGTCTTAATGTGTCTGCTCTGGTGTTTATAATTCTGCAGCTGCATTTGTATGTTTGTAGGTGGAGGGTGGAATGTCTCGTGGCAGAGGGAAGGATTAAAGGATTAAAAACTAAACTGACAGTGAAAGTCAGGGAAGAAGGAGAGAAATATGATGAAATAAGCAGCAGAAGCTCAGTTGGTGTAGATCTGGCCCTCGGGGGGCTGAGGAAGCTTCATGTTTTCTTTGCACATCATGAGCCGTCGCAGCTCCAGTAGCACCATGCGGATACTGTAGGAGTTCTGCCACTTTGCCAGCGGCGTCACAGCGTGCATGTCAACCTGCAGGAAAACAACATTTGTCTGTGAGGCTCAAGATCATTTCTCCTGACCACGGCTTACTGCAAGCATCTTCACAATAAAACCACAAAGAATGTATTTTATTGGGATTTTATGCCATAGACCAACACAGAAAAGTACATGATTGTGAAGGAGGGACATGACACATTATGACCTCTGCAACGATGTTGTGTTTGTGTGTCTGTGTACAGGATAACTTGACAAGTCAATTCCAGATTGTAATGTTCTTTTTTTTTTTTAACCAAAGGTGCACCTCAGTCCAAGAAACACTCCATTACATTTTGTTGTCGATCCACATCATAGTCAAGTTTGGCGGAACAAGCAGTTCCCTCCTAAGCCAGAGGGTGGCAGCAGTGACTATTGACAGCTTCGGCATTGGACTCAAAAAAGTGAACTTTTGCTGCTGGACGCCGGATCCTAAACCAATCAGACAAGCTGATACAGGAGGTTTTTTGGGGGGAGACAGACACTACCTGCAAGCTGTAATTGCTTCTGCAGACATTCTGCATAAGAGAAATTTATAAATATAAAGGGTTTAAACTCCAAAGGTTAAAAAAAAATGTATATAAAAGAGAGCAAGCTCTGATCATTAAAACATTTTTTATGAACTATGGTGAAACAGTTTATAAATATCCAAATTAACTAGTAATGTTAAAACCTGCCAATGAAAAATGTTCAATGATATATTCTGGCAATTGCATGTTTTTAACACAAAACTTAAAAACCCTTTATATTCACTTCCAGCTGCTACTAACAGCAGTGGGAAATCCTCCACAGGCTGGCCTGCAGCATAGAGCTTTTAGCTGGGTTTGTCACTACCTGATCCGTCCCGGAAGCATGGACATATAGCATTTGCGCATGCACATCCAGATATACAGCCGGGTCGTCCTCTTTTTGTTAAAAAGACCTAAATGACGTTTTCCCTACCAAAAAATAGTAAACGTACTAAAATATAATGTGTTAAAGGTTAATAATATATTTCCTGAGAAAATAAATGACTTAAAATCCTTTTTATCAGTCGTCTCTGCTCGATCTGCACCGGAAATGAAATCCTACGCTACTTCCGGTGGCTAACTTTTTCAGCTTTGGATTTAAACATAAATCTAGTCTATTTGAGTTTAATGTTTCCTTTCATGTTAACCTTATGCTATATAGTGCGTAATCTAAAGAAAGAAACAACTAAAATGCAGATAAACATGGTTTAATCAGATTTTGCCGGACTGCTCTGAGCATGCCTGATGATGACGTCAGAGAAGCAGTTTAACGAAGAAAATGTAAAAAGCATAAAATTTGTTTCACAAAAGTCATAAAACATTTTTTAAATATGTGTATTAGCATTGTTTCGTGAGTTAAGGATAGAAATAAGTAGTAGTAGTAGCAGCTTTAGGACCATAATTACATTACTTATGGACACCCAGATGTATATCTGTTTGCGCATGCGCAGGACGGATTGTGCTTCCAGGACGGATCGGGTAGTAAGAGGGATTTCCAGCCCTGCTTCCTGGGGGTATGCTGGAGGTCTGGGTCTTAACAAGAACTTCATATTTTTGTGGCATAAAATCCTGATGTACCGACTGAACTGATGATGGTTGGAGGGGGACTTTCTCGCTTAAAAATGCGTTGAAACTACTTCTCCAACTCATCAAAACGGATAAAGCCAAGTTGCTCTCTAGCTTGTAGCTACAGAAAAGAGCAATTAAAGAACGAGAGCGCCAAGCATCCAGAGTGTCAAAGCATCTTTACCAGCGTAAGACCCAGTATCTGATCCAGCGACCAAATTTGCGACAAAATAGTTTTTGACACCCAGATTGCATTCAGTGCGAATGTACCTGAAGTCACAACATGGGACAAAACGTGCTACCTGGCGAAGGTCTCCCTCTCCGAGTGCTTTTCTAGTTTTCCAAATTGTTTGCTGAGTGATTGAATGCAGGGCCACTCTGAACATTAAATTGAACTGAATAATGCATGGTAGTGGCAGAATCATGATGTGACAGTTAGATATAAGGTGACATTTGGTATTAAAAAAATCACCCAGCAAGAAAACTTCTGGTTAGTAAACACCATAAATAAAAACAGTTACCAGGTTTGGACAGGATGGATTCAGATGTTTTTGTTTTCTCTAAATGCATAAGAAAACGAAGCCCATTTGCTTAAGCTAAAGGTTAGGAAACTTATAGACAATTCTTGCAATGTTTGGGATAATATATTCATTAAAAAAATAAATCATGGTTTATTTCCATTAATACTAGTTGTGGCTGATATCATCAATATTTAAACATATTGCTATTGGACCCATAAGTATAGCTGAGCCAATATTAAATAAAACTTATTTCAATTTTGTTGCTGTTTGCTCACAACATCAACATGGAGGGGCACCAATACAGAAGGACAGCGACTTTTAATACTATATTTGTATGAACGCTTATCTGCTTTATAATTATATACTACCTTGTGCTGCTCTATTACATAAAATGCCAGTGGAGCAGGCTTCAGTTTTTTCTATTAACACGGAAAAATGTCAAAAAGTTCAGAGGGTATAAATACTTTGACAAGAGTATGTATCAACTTCAAAAATGTTCATAAAAACCACGTTTTTTTTTTGATCAGCTTAAAAATGCAAAAAAAAAGTGCTTATAAATCAAAATATTTCCATCCAATTTTTAATACTAATATACGATAACAATAAAAAAAAGGAACCTGGTACCTAATCTGGCCAGACAACATGGAAAGAAAACCCTTTAAATGTACCATGAGTTATACTTCTGAAGCAAATATTATGCAAATAAAATAAATACGGTTGATGATAACATTCATGAGGCTGTATTATAAGTAAGTAGCTTTGAGGATTTACATACCACGCCGTTGGAAGTGTGCACACCATTCAGGTTTATCTTGGTCACGAATCTGACGAACGGTGGTGACTCTGGGTAACCTGGCCCACATTCAACCTTCAGGTTATACATCCTGTTTTCATAACTCGTCTGTGGACGGAGAAGAGAGAGACATGGGACACTGAGCTTAAAAAAATGGAGATTATACAAACATTTCCAGACTCAGATTTTCAGATACCTCGTCAGTTTCGACCCATATTTAATTCTTAATTTGAATCATATTTATAACAGAATTAAAAACATGCTAACATGGAGACAAAACACACTAAGTTAATAAGTTAGTTACTGAAGGTAGCAAAGATTATCTAACATTGTTTGCAATTTGTGAAATATGTATTCAATGCCTGAAAGTAGAAAGGTAAATAAATTAATTCAGATAATGCATTTAATATAATCTAGGGTAGCTTTAATAAACCCAGAAACTGAAATTATTTTTCTATATATTTTGAAAAATAAAAGTAAATTGTCTTTCCAAGGATTTCTGTCCAGTAGAGAATAATCCAGCACAATCTCACCCAAGTCGTATAGTCGAAATCTACATTATATATTTTATTTTTGTTACAAATATGTTCAATTAACTGTCTTCTATCCAAGGATCCTAGGAATGTGAGAATGCAGGCATGTTTTGCCTCAAGTTTAAAAAATAAATTCATAAAAAAACAGTACCTACACATTCTAACATTTTGTAAATCACTTTACTCAGCTGAAGATTTCTTTGAATCCTGACTAAGTTTTAATATCTTTATTATATGTTATTTGCTTAAATAAGCACCTACTGTACAGTCTCTTGTTCTAATATCATTTTCAATTTTAAAATAATACTATATTAACCAATAACCACGCCATTTTCTTTTACTAAGCTTTCAAATTTACTGAATAACTTTCAATAATACTCTCTATGATTATGTACACTTTAACTAAACACTGCTTAGTTTACAAAAATAACATTTAAACGGTCTTTTCTAATAATCAAATTTCTGAATCAATGACTCTAATCCTTAAAATTAGTAGAAACAAATACCTACAGTGTCTCTTTATGTATAATAAAAATATAAATTTTACTTTTGACTGATTTACTTAAACTTTTTGATGATGCTTTAACTTGAAATAAAAATAGCAAAACTTCTTTTTCTTCTTACTTGCAGAGGATTTAACTTCTGTTTCAAACTATCTTTTTAGTTTGGATGAGAAGTCAAATCTTTTCAAGATATAAGAGATCAAGTCTAGTTACTCTATGTGAATTTAGACAAAAAATAAACAATAATGTACAACAATAAATTTTGATTAAACCATAAAAAAGACGGTTGTTTTAAAAACAAATACAGTGACATGTGTCGTCCTGTTGCAAAGCCTGATTTGCTCACTGAGCCTGTCCAGTCATACAACAGTGCATTAACCTCTTGACTCGGCTGCTTAAAGGCTTACAAGGCTGTGAGGTGTTTAAATGGCAGCACTAACCCGCGGAGGCCCGAGGATCACTCCTCTCCACCGTGTTAAGGTCATGTCCTCATCATCCTCCAGACCCCAGCTCACAGTACCGTCTCCCACACCTTTCTGACCCTCTTCCAGCTCCTCCAAAAGTCGAAAATTGCGAGGAACTTTAATGCCTGTGCACAAGGAAAAACATTTCCAACATGACAGATGTAACCAAGTCCCTTTAAGCTGTTCGCTGGGGTGACGTCACCTTCCTGAAATTAAACGTTTAGACAGGTCAGCTTTTAGACATTCCTTTAACGGTCCTTGTGATGAGACATTTAAAAATGTTGCAAGCCAGGGAAACAAAAAATTATATATTCACATGCTGCAATAAAAGTACAAAAAAATAACACACTCTTATTATGATCAACAAGAGTTTATTGCCATCATCAAGCTACAGAGAGCTTCTTCTACATCGATTCGGCAACAATGAAAACAATATCAGATAAGGGTCTGGCAAAAGTATTAATTTATCAATTTTCTTAAAGCCTTATTGAGTATTAGGTCAACAAATAAACTTTTTGCCATTATTGATCAAATAATAGAAAAAGAAGCAACAGATTAATCAAATTTCAAAATAGACATTAGTTACAGCCCTAAATTAAAGTCGGTGTGGCTTTTAGATGCATCTCTCCTAAAACACACCTGAATTGTTTGTTACCGTATCTCATCAGAGCCAATTGACCTGCTGGTGAGGGACTTAGGGCACTTAAGGCATTCAATTCAGGTGTGTTTGAAAAGGGATGCATCTAAAAGCTGCATAATATTAGCTCCTAAAGACTAAACATCTACAGCTAAACTTTTCCAGTTTAGCTGTGGATGTAAGCTTACAGCCATTGTCCTAAAGAGGGTTTAAATTTAAGGCATTTTACAGCTTCTAACATGTTTATATTCAATCTATCTCCCCTTAAGTTATGATCAGCTTTTCTGTCCTAATACATAAAAAGTATCCCCACAGCATGATACTGCCACCACTACCGTACTTCACAATAAGGATGTTTTCTTTTATCATGTCTAGTTGGTTACTTGCACACATGTTGTTGTTACTAAGTAGGATTTTTATCCCATCTGACCAGAGCAATTTTAGCAATTACCATGGGGTTACCATGAGCTTTTTGGCCGCTTCAGCTAATACGTTTAGGTGGAGAGCCAAGTCTTTCTAAGTCTGTTGAGTGAATTGAATTGAACATTGCTTCAGGATTTTTCCACATGTTTGCATTAAACATGCCTCAAACATGTCATTCATTCATATCTGACCCATCTGCTGTGTTCCTTTATATTTAGGATCGCATCTGTTCTTTTATTTTCTAACTTTTAGATGATTGAGAGCATAAGTGAGCAGCCCCGTAACCAGCATTGAGAACGCCGAGGTCATGTTCCTCTGTATTTTGCCTTTTTTTTTTTTTTTTTTTATTCAGAGAAATGTCAAACTATATGATGAAAATTGTTCTAACTTTGATTGGTTTAAAGATCAGCATGTATTCTCATTTGTTAAAAAAACAATATAATATTGCAAGTCATTTGATTCATTTAGTGGGACATGCACACACACAGTGATGATGGTGACAATAATAATAGTAGCAATAATAATTCAGTATTAAAGGGGAACACCGTTTTTTTAACATTGGGCCCTTGATTTTACGTCATGTTCTGTGTCGTTTGTGTCATTTTGTGTCATTTGGAGCTGTTCCGGTTAAGTTGTATCCAAGTAACGTCTTCCTAGTCTTTCTATGGGTAAGAACTTGAAGGCACAAACTAAACTGTTCATAATTTGTTCTTTATGGTACGCCAGCATTCATAACATGTAGGCGAATCACTGTCCCCCAGACATCCGCCGTTATATTTTTAATATTTCTATTTTTTTAAAATAAAGTGGAGTGTGTATGATGTCATCCGCCCGCCGGACAGGCAGCCCAGGCCACAGGCAGCTATGCTCTACCCCTTCTATTAATTCGGCTAGCTAATCTGAATCGAGATCATCTGTGGTATTGGCACTAGACATCTTCCAGGCATGTGAGTAAAACTAGCTGCTGTTCAGCTGACAGGATGAATGAATGGTAGCCGGCGCGCATGGATGACATCATACACGCACAGCTTTGTTTTTAAAAGATATAAATATAAAAAATATAACCGCGGATTCTGGGGGACAGTGATTCGCCTACATGTTATGAATGCTGGCGTACCATAAAGAATAAATTATGAACAGTTTAGTTTGTGCCTTCAACTCGCTGCCCATAGGAAGACATTACTTGGATATAACCTAATGGAATATCTTCAGAACAGCTCCAAATGACACAAAACTCATATGGGTGAGTAGAATATGATGTAATAATGTAAAGGGCCCAATTAAAAAAAAAAAAAAAAAACTGGCGTTCCCCTTTAATAACAACAACAACAGTAATATAGTATAATAATGATGATGATAATAATATCACTCACTCACTGAAATACTCAGCTTTGGAATTGCTATAATAAACATGTTCATATTCACCTCCTTCATGGGCTTGTTATTTAACTCTCTTTATTCACGTTTCCAAAATATATTTCAAAAAGTCCCCATATTAGGATTTTTCTTTGTAAAGTAAAATTTATTGCAATATTTGACCTCGGTATTTCAAAAATCCTGGTTACGGCCCTGTAAGTGAGCGTGTAGATGTTCACAGCTACTGGTATTTTAAACCGACATAACTGCAGTACATACCGGTATATATGAAAATAATGTTTAACACTAGGCTTATTGTTTTGGATTTATCGCCGCCGTGATGCTGCATCATCTGGCCTCTGCAGTGAGGAGGCAGAACTGCGCCCTTTCACAGACCAAACAAACACAGACACGCTTTCAGATGCTGCAGTATCTGATTCCCAGTTCAAGGGGTTCAAAGCAATCCCAGCTGATGTCTACCCAACCCAGGGCTCATGCACCACCAATCCGCTGATAACGCCGTGAAAACATCCGTTCAGTCTCAGTAAATAACGTTGCAAAAAGTAGGAAGAAATACGGGTTAGCGGCAACGTTTGGTTTCGGAACCTTTCATGACGAAGCGTAATTACATTAACAGTTAAATAACTATTAACGGGACATGAATACTTTCAGCGTAAGTGCTACATCCGTTATTTAAACTTTAAATTTAGGCTAGCTTAGCTGCTGACATCGCTTCCTATTCATTTTCTGTGGCTTTTATTTTGTGTTTATCTTTTCAAAAACTATTTTCCAAACTGTGCTATAAAGCCAACCTCGATAGAAAATCAACAAATGTACAATTTGGTGAATTGAAATGCGCCTCCTCTGTGTGATAAAATATATTTTTATGTCATTTACCTGATCCGGTGGCGACCGCCATCTTGTCGCTACGTAGCGGGAGCGCGCACGTGCTCAATGGTGCGCGCGTGCGTTGGAAGCATCTTCTTTTCTGTCTGTCCCTCTGCTAAAAGCAGATCCTGCTTTTGTGCTGTTTTTAGCACTTAAAAGACAAGCACGAAAATAACCCTGTTATCTGCAAACTTATAAAGCGAATAAATATTTCGAGATAAAACGAATGTTTTATTTTTAAATCATAAGTTTTATATAAATAATCATCTTGAGAACTGGAACAGCAGCATAAGAACAGAGACAGATATGTGGTTACTATGTAGTAAAGCTAGAAAAAGAGGAGAAAGAAAGAAAAGGCCTGGCTTTTCAACAGGTGCTACCTACCAGCTGCTTTTTAATTATTAAATAGGCCTATTATTCAACCTCTTGGATGTGAAGAGACAGCATTACAATCCATGCTTTGTTTTATATTTAAACCCACAATCGTGAATATAGCTCTTTATGGTTAATCCCAATTAGACAGACAAACAAACAACCAGCAAACCAAATTAACTGTACTTCAAGTTAATAAGTGAAACTCATACATTCACTACACCGTGATACAGTTCAAGCATTTCTTTAGTTATATTGATTGATTTGATTGACTTTATTGATCTGACAGTGAAGAAATTTACTCGTTACATCGGCTCAAACAGTGAAAAAGAAGAAGGTGCCAAAGGAAGAATATATATATATATATATATATGACCCAGAGTGGCAGTCTGTGGCAGTGGGTTTCAAACCCAAAACCTCAGGATACCAAGCTCTATGTCCTAACCACTAGGCCACCACCCCCCGAACATGGACAAACTGTTAAAAGGTAAAGGCTTTGAGACCAATGGCTCGATGTTCCTGTGACCACGGCTGCACATATTATTCAGAAATGTAAAAATCCATGGGACTAAAGCCGAACTTCCCTGTGGCAGCAGAAGGAAAATGGATGACACATCGCAAAGATGGATAATAAAAATAGTAACAAAAGAGCCCCCAAAAATGTTCTATAGAGATTGAAGGTGAATGGCTGCTCATTTGCGCAGTGGGTAGCACTGCTGCCTTGCAGCAAGAAGGTTTTGGGTTTGATTCCCGGCCCAGGGTCTTTCTGCATGGGGTTTGCATGTTCTCCCTGAGCATGTGTGGGTTCTCCCCGGGTACTCCGGCTTCCTCCAACAGTCCAAAAACATGACTGTTAGGTTAATTGGCTTCTCTACACAACCCTTAGGTGTGTGTATGTGAATAGTTGTTTGTCATGTTTGTCTCTGTGTTGCCCTGGCGACCTGTCCAGTGTGTACCCTGCCTCTTGCCCATTGACTGCTGGAGATAGGCACCAGCACCCCTTGTGACCCCACTTGGGATACAGTAAGCGTGCTAGAAAAGGGATGGATGGATGGATTAAGGGTGAACATCAAGCTCAAGTAATATCAGTGTCGGATTGCACCATCAGTTGTTCTTGTGCCAAAGTGAAATTCATTTGAAACGACCAAGGAGGAAAATACTGTTGAAAACAAATCATAAAAAGCCAGACTGGAATTTGCCAAACTACATGTTGACAAGCCACAGAGCTTCTAGGAGAATGTCCTATGGACAGAGGAGACAAAAATTTAACTTTTTACTAAGTCACCTCAGCTATAAGTTCACAGACGAAAACAAAAAAAAAAAGTTTATCAACAATAGAGCACTACTGTGAAACAAGGAGGAAGCTCAGTCATGCTCTGGGGCTGTTTAGCTTCATGTGGCACTGGGTGTCTTGAATCTCTGAAGAGAATAATGAAATCTCAAGACTATCAAGGGAATCTAGAGAGAAATGTATTGCCCAGTGTTAAGTCTCAGTCACAAGTTGGTCTACAACATGATATTGACCCAAGACACACAACTACAAACAGCCAAGAATAGCCAAGAGGAAATTATTAGATTATTCTGAAGTGGCTTTCTAGGAGCCCTGGTGTAAAACTATTGAGCATCATTTGAAGGAGCTGAAACACGCTGTTTGGAAAAGGTTGCCTTCAAACCTGAGGGAAATGGAGCAGTTTGTTGATGAGGAGTGGGCCAAAATACCTGCAGAGAGGAGCAGAAATCTAACAGACAGTTAAAGGTATTGTTTGATTGCAGTTAAAATGCTGTGCAACCAAATATTAGGTTAAGGGTACTATAAGTTTTGTTTAGGCCTGTATCATGAGTTTATTTTGAAAATTGTTCTGTTGAAGTGTGGTTGAAAAGCAATGTGTGATTTTCTTTGTTCATTTTCCATATGTTTTTGTTTTATTTTGTCAGCATCGTTATTTAAGTCGCTCCGGTTATTTTTTCCATATTTAAACAGGGGTATCAACAAATTTTGTCCGTATGTGTAATTCAGGACCTTAAAACAAGTCCGATCTGTGAGAATCAGAAGGCGTGCGCTGCCGCTACAGTCATTGCTTTAATGGGCCCCACACACACAGAACTATCCAGGAAATCCTCTCAAGGCTGCGGTTACACCCGTGTTTGTGTGTATTGTCTCTTTAACTCAAATATTCACTATTATGCTTGGATTAAGCAAACTGAAAATAGGCAGCTTTTTCAGCTGTGATCTTTTTTTAATGTCTGGTGAAGGTTGTCGGCTGGAAAGTAAAGTCAGTGTTTTTTTATGATTGTGTCAGACCATAATATTTCAATAATAAGAATCTTGTTTTTTAAATTAGTCTTAGAAATTACAAAAAAAAATTATTTAGACTGATTTTGGGGGTTTTCCAAAATCATTGAAATGAACAGAAATGTATGCTTATATAAATAAATCCAAGTTAATTCTTGTACTAAATTTACCAAAATAAACTTTTGATCTTTAAATACTTTTAAATCCACCAAAATATATAAAAGTACTTCTACTTCTTTAAGGGTAAATAACACACACACACAAAAAAAAGGTATTTGTTAGTTTTATTTATAAATACAGATTAATATACACATTGTAGACCTCCCATATGGAAGACAACAAAAAAGGCATCAAGGCATTATTCTGATATCTAGAACGTCATGTTCAAGGGCATCCCTAACCAACATTGACATCCATGTGGGTCCGAACTCAAAGACAAACTGAGTCATTAGCTCAGGCTGTTTTCCCAACAAATGCTGGCAACATTTACTGTAAATCTTTAGGGGAATCATAAGGCAGTTAAATTTAAAATCTTCCTCCATAACAAAAAAAAGGCAAAGATGGTTTATTTATTTATTCATGGCCACAAAACAACCAGGAATGCCTCAGTCAACTGCCCGCTTTGCCCAACAAGAACAAAAAAAAAAATCCATCCCAACTGAACAATTAATTTCAACATTTCAAATGATATCTTTAGCTCTGCCAATTTAGTGACAACCCCTCCCATAAAAAAAAAAAAAAAAATCCCAATGGAGCACTCAAATGGTTCTAACTACAATCCTGAGAGCATTTGGAGCGTAAATTTATGTGCAATAAATCTAATAAGAATACCCACAACAACAGCACTTAAAACAAGCCTACAGCCAAGAGAAAGTAGTTTTGGTTCCCTTTGAGCTCACTACAAATCTTTAAATCGTGAGACTCTTCATAGCCAATCAAAGTCTCTTCTAGCATTTCTTGAGCAGTAATCGTTACCCTACATCTTACAGGATTTACAAAAGCACAAAACATCCTTATAATTATCCTTATAAACCCAGAAAGTAATTCACGAAAGCTTCAACACAATCAGCAAAGCATATGCTGGAATCCCTATACTTAGAAAGTCCTGTCATAATTTAAATTTGCCTACTCATCATCCTAATACTGACCAAGAAGAGCTACATACACAACTAGAACCTCTGCAGGGCTCAAAGATGAAGCCTTCCATTTAACCAGCTTATACTACATTAAAAACACTCTACACGTCTACAGTGTGTTCCTGATGTTGACCTTTGATGAATAATTGCACATAATCCAGTATGAAGGAATAAAAATCTGTAATATTATGTATCTGAAAGCCTAACTTTGGGTGTAATGTTAACCGTTTATGTCAGGAAATGTCCAGATACACATCCAGCTAAGAAGGTTAGCTTCCACCATTTTAAACGGTTGCAATGACTTATCTGTGTGATTTGTGAAAGAATATAAATTTACCCCTATGTGATTTTGTACCACTGCAGTTTAGGTCATTTAAAGCTCTACTGTTTCCAGGTAGACGAAAGGATTAGTCAACCGTAGGACCTCAGATGTGAGCCGAGCATTAATTCCTACCAGCAGAAAGAGGAAAATATGCACCCGCTAGATAACCAAGGTGTAAGATTAACATCTATGTTGTACTTGAACTACTAGAAGGTTATATGGTTTCATGGCAAAATCCTTAACTGCAATGAAATAGAACATGAAACCCATGGCTGAGTCCATGAGTATGAAATGGATCGTTTACAGGAACCAAAGGATTGAATTAAAAGATTAAAAGATATTTTGTATTGAAAGAAAATCTATTTTTAGCCATATATTGCCTGTTTTTTGGTAGAACTCTTAAATTGCATATTTGATTTATTATGAAAATGATTAAACATAAAATGCTCAAATCATCTTGTTTAATTTATTTAAGTAGTTAGTTTCTAAACACATAAAACTATATTTATTTATTTGTTATGGTTCTGATTTGTGGTAATTATATTAGATTTTACATGTTGAGATAGAAATGTTGTGTCTTTACCCAGAAACCGTAACATTTCTACTCGAGGTATCATACCATTAGAATATTCTAAAGGAATTAATACATAAAATCAGTTTTCAAAGCGGGTACAAATCCCTCCCGACGGTGTGTATGAATCATTGCATCGTCTACATAAGGCTTTCTGTGATGGACACAAAGAAAAAGGTTGGAAAAAATAAAAAGCAAAACTGGATCAAATCGTTTAGATCGAGAAAAGAGCTCCTGAGTCGACATCGGCTTCGCACAAACGAGCTCTGATGGAGTGAGCATCTTACAAGCCGCCGTACAGAGAGCATCCTTTAGCCTGCTGCGAGTTACATCTTTAAAATGTGAAATTTACTTCAACATGCAGGCCGCTGCTTTTAACTCCAGGTTAACTCCTTCAAACTTAGCAAACGTGTAAACTATTAGAAAAAAGAAATATGTCAAACCTAAACAGTTGATTTAAGACATTTACAGGCTTCCTATTACACTGCATAGATACTAGCTAAACAAAAAAAAAAAAGAAGAAGAACAGAGCATCCGCAGAAGCACTACAACAACAGTAATTAAAGAATCCTTTCTGAGAGAGAAAGGTCATCCGATTTATCGCAAGCCCTTAAAATATGAATGAGAATGTTTGTAACAGTAACCAAAAGAGTACACAGCGGCAACATTTCCGAACAGGAATGTAATCCCCGGAAAGCGAGAAGCTGAAAACAAAAGACTAACAAGGACTGAAAACAACACACACACACACACAGCTGGCACAATAACTTTGAGGCATTTGTGTTGGATTAATCGGACACAAAGCCCGCAGTGACACTCTTGCCACTAACGCCCCCGAAGTGCTGCAGAAGCAACGACACAAAGTACTGCATCTGTGACATGTAAGGCAGCTTGACCAATCAGCATGCGCCTCTTTTCCAGCAAATAATACAGATTTAAAAAATGAAGCCCTCCCACTTTGAAGAAAAGCACAGAATTGTCTCAAAAGCACAAGCAACGGAAATAAACTTGCTTTAATCATCCAAGACTTTCTGACTTTGCGTATCATCGCTTGATTCCTTATAATTTAGATTATTTAGTAGATTTATGGTCACGCTGGTTCTCAAGCTAGAGCTGATCTATCCGTTACGGCTGTGTTTTAGAAACCACTTTGGGAATTTAAAACTCTTAAGGACCAAGAAAAAAAAATATAAAAATGTTTTAATACATTTTCTTTTAGTTTATCCTAACAAATGTAAAAAAATAAAATGTGCAGAGCTGAACCAAAATGTGCAAAAAGACAATTAAACTAAAAACCTCCTAATTTGATCACAAGCCATCATCATTTGGTAACCGTACAGATCCTATATAAACCCCGCCATACTGCTTCTATGACTCCCGCATCAGACTGTTTCCTTAGAGCTTAGAGGTCCAACTGAGAGTAAAGCAGTGAGGAGTAAAATGCAAACATAAGCTCTCCTACTTAAGTGAATGTTGGTTCTCCAAAGCGCTGGTTATTATGGGTCTTTTTTTTTAGGTGAGCAATAATCTGACTTTTGGAGGTCAGATTATTGCTACTAGCAGAAACCCTACTACCAGAAACCCCCAAACAGTGTTGTTTGTGTAAATATTTGAAAGAGCATATATATTGCAGTTTGAAAAATGTGAAGAGCTGTGAAAGAAAATCCCAGAGACAGAGCCCTCGCATTGCGAAAAATTAAAATTAAAAAAATGTGCAAGACTTAAAGCTATGGCATCAGAACTGTTTAGATGTTCATCCTGTGAACTGCAGTTTGTAAATCAGGCAAGAAAACGGGACGCGAAGCCTGGGCAGAGCCAGGGGTTTCTGAGGTAGGATGCAGTTAGCCTTCAGTGTTAATTGACTTTCTTAGCCCATTTTAAGTCGTCTGCCCTGGGTTTCTCTCCCGTCACACTCTGAATGAGGTCCTCCAAGGTTCTCCAGAAACCCAGCTTCTCCAGAGGGTAGTTCAGCCAACCTGCACAGCAGAGAGATAAACGCCATCAGCTCTAGTTTCATCAAACATTCAAATATACACGACTTTTCCAAAGGTTTAACTTCTTACAGGCCAGCTGGAGTGAAGCGCTTTAAATTAAGAAAAAGGATTCTAAATATTTCTGGGTATTTTTGTCTCATATTAAAGGCATACTATGCAACATTTTTCAGTTAATTAATGTGTTCCATAACGTTTTGGATGATTAAATGAGTCATTTCAGGTCGAACAAAGGTTTTCTCGGCCGCCCTGGTGGTCTGTAGGGGAAATACCGTACTTGCAATTGCAGGAGCCCTCGGCCCGCACCTACAGGCTCAGAAGTCTCGTGCATGGCGAGAGTCGGTCTTGCTTTACGGCGAGAACTGCTACACGCCCCCAGTTAAAGGCATGCTCGTTGCTAGCGCAGTGGTGATATTTGTGCAGTTATCATGGCGGAACCAGCGAGAAAACAGCGCCTGGCTTGACGGAGAAACCAGGAGAACAGCTGAGCATATTTACGACAGTGCACTTTTACTTTCGCCCTCTGGGGGGAGCCTCGCTGGAAAATCAACACCGGTTGCATAGTATACCTTTAATGAGATATTACTCTAGACCGGAGGTCTTCAACAGGGGGTCCGTGACCCCTAGGGGGTCCACGGAGGTACTGCATGGGGGTCGCAAAACTTTTAGTTGATAAGACTTTTTTTCAAATTTTTCCCACTAATTAAAATGTCTTTAAATCAACATTAACATGAAATCAACACACTGTAGTAAACAGATAAATGGAGGCAGAAGATGTCTTTCAGTCATCATTGCACACATGCAGCGACACACAGGAGCTTTTTCAAGCTGGGCACCGTTTCATTCACAACACCTGTCCCATCAATGAGGAATCAGAATCAGAAATACTTTAATAATCCCAGGATGAAATTACTTTAGTTACATTACTCCAGCTGTAATAGAGTGACTATAGGAGCAGTTTGATATAACACTATTTCATACAATATATATAAGTAGGGGGTCCCGGCACCACCTCGCCATCAGTTTGGGGGTCCTTGGCCTGGAAAACATTGAAGATCCCTGATCTAGGCTATTCATCATACCATTCATCATATCATTTTTGCATGCAAAATATTTAGTTTTTCTCATCCAGAAAATTCCAATTTATTAGCTAGGAGTTCATTTAAAATAATTTGCATATTGTGGAAAAATATATTAAACAGATTTATTACCTACTAAGGAATTAGATAAATTGAAATAAAAAATATAGGTCAATAGTACAAAGCAATGCAAAAGGGACAGAAATTAATTAATTTAGGTTTAAAAAAAATTGATAAGACTTTAGAGTAAAACAAAATTTATCCGAAAATATCCAGCTCAGCCAAATTATATGGCCTTTAAATTAGACAAGGTTTTGCAAAAAGTAATAAAAATATAATCTTAGGACTTATGAGGGAGCAGGTACAAACCTGTGGTAATGCAGAAGTAGGTCTCATGAGGGGAGACGTGATGAACGCGGTGATGCTTGCGAGGAAGGATGATGTGACAGTCCTGCAGGAACACCACCCAGCGAGGAAGGCCGAAGTACGTGTGCGACCACTTGTGAATCTGGTTGGTGAGCGTCACGAAGATGGCCAGTGCATACAGGTAGCAATACCAGGGGTAGAAACGGTAGATCTCCGCTGCAGTTACAGAGGCAACGGGAGAATTCATGTTTATTATTGCTCATTGAATTTTGTCTTCACTAAAACAAATTCAGACAAATGTCATCTTTGTTTGTAGAAACACTCACCGGGGGACAGAGTGAGGAAGTTGAAGGCCATGTTTGCGAGAGGGAATATGGTCAGCATGCAGTTGTCACCGTTGGTCTCGATGAAGTCGTGGCGGGTGATGGCTGTGGGGTCGATGTGGTGCTCTCTGAACGGCCGAATAAAAGCCTTTAGGAGGGAAAATATCTGGTTAGTAGGTGGGAACATTCAGCACAGAATTAGGGCATATTTTCATACTTTTAAAAGGTTTGGTGATCATACCTTTCCAAAGATGGGCAGGTCCACAGATCCCCACGTGTCAGCCCCCCAGTGCACCAGCCCTGACGCAAAGTCAGCAGTGAGGATTCCTGCCACTGAGGAAGAGGTCATGAAGCGAAACAAAAAACGGATCAAAACATCTATTGATAAATAAAAAAAATCTAAACCATGTGTCATTTTGGAGTCAGTGCTTACCAATCCCCAACTGTATATACCACACATGTCCCAGGTGGAAATTGGCAAGAAGGTGAATAAAGTTGAAGGCCATGAGAGAGAAGCAGAGGAGGACACTAATCCATTCTTGACATCTTTTGCCTGGCAAGAAATTTCATAAAAACAAAAAGAAAAGCCCAAAAATGAGAAATTATATGAAAAGGTAATGATGATGGCATTTAAAATAAGTTCCCAGTCTATGTTTAATCATCCAAATCGATGAGAGCAAACAAATAAAACATTCAAATGCTATCAACCTTATTAGGTTCACCTTTAAAAAGCGAACTCTTTTTTTAGTGGGACAGATCTGAACAGATTCAAACATTTAACTCATTTTTCATTGCATAAGTCAAACTCAGTTAGATTAAACAATAAGCATCGGATTTATACAAAAAGTTTAAAGAAGCCATTACGAATTGAGCTAGTTTCTCCACTCTGGCCTTCAGACTCTATTATTATCCTGCATGTTTTAGATCTCTCCAATTTTACCACAGATTGGAACGAAATTAATGTTTAACAGGCTTGTAAAGCCTTGCATGCAGAGAGGGCATAACGCAATCATATTAACCAGGTGTGCAGGAGAAGAGACATCTAAAACAAAGGGCAAGAAATGGCAATCTAAACCTTTTCAGCATACAAAGCTCTGATTGTATGTTTAAGGTTGTCGCTGTGCTTGAATTAGAACCTCAGGTTTCCTCAATCATTCAGGCATAAAGCTGAATCCATCTCCCTTATCTCTGCTAAAGAGAACAACCCCACTGCATTAGTTGCCTTCTTTCACTTGTTTGGCTTATGTTGCTCATGGTGAACTAAAAACAGGACTGTTTGGCTTTAGTCATCCTGCCCTGAGTAGCTCCTTCAAAGTCACTGTCTGCTCCTCCTATAATTACTCTCCTTGCCCAGCCTGTCAGTTTAGACGGTCTTGGCTGATTTCCATTATAAGCGAGATGTTTTGGTTTTTTTTTAAATCCGTCTTAACCATGTTTTCAATCGAAATAAAAGGCTAAATCTGGTTTAACCTCTCAAAACCCACCGGGTCGCCGTTTTAAAGCAAAAAATGGTAAATAGTAAATGGCATGTACTTATATAGCGCCTTTATTCAAGTTAGGAGACTAATAATAACAAATAAAAACAAATAATAACTCAGAATGCATGAAAATTACACTGGTTGGAAAGCTTAGATTTTCCACCAAAGCACAATTAACGCAGATATAGCAGCATGTCAAAATGTACCATGACAAAGCAGCCACAACAAGCAAGCATGTCTTTATAACTGCTGTTCAAAAAATACCTATTATTTTCGAGAATAAAAAAATAACTACTTTGAGTCTTGTTTGAAGTGATGCAGCTTGGGTGTTTCACTCACCCAGTTTTCATGTATATATTCAGAAATTAGAAGGTGTTAGCTTTCAAATAACGTATCACACATGTAATATGGGCTTACAGTTAATTTCTTTTCCATTTGGATGTGCAAAATAGGTGAGAATTTCCCAAAATGAGGTGGATATTAAAGGAATAGTACACCCAAAACATGATTAGCCTTCATTTTCTACTCACCCCCATGCTGAACAACACTCTGGAGTACTTTTTTGATATCTCAAATGCATCTGGAGATCTGGGAGGCTTCTTGCTGTCTGCTGACATTCAAATAATGGAGGTCTATGGTGACCGAGACAGAAAGGTCCATAAAAGTCCACAAAAAACGTTTCAATATTCCTCCATACTGCTCGTCCAATGTATTCCAAGTGTCCTGAGTGGGTAGCATCCAGAATTTACTCGAAACGAAGTCATTTAGAATGTTTTTAGAGCATAAACAGTAGTGTATAGGATTTCCTGAAAGCGCGCACCTGCGCGTTCACGACGCTACGGAAGCCGGCAGACCAAACCAGCGCATTCAGCTCGGCAAAGAACTCATGCTCTTCCTCAACACTGAAGTCCTCAGACATTTTTCTTTCGTTGTTTCTTTCTTTGCACAGGTAAACAACACATTTCCTCTTCTACGCTTGCATTATCGGCAGAGCAGACGCTGAATGCGCACTTTCATCTGGTTTGGTCTGCCGGCTTCCGTAGCGTCGTGAACGCGCATGTGCGCGCTTTCAGGAAATCCTTTACACTACTGTTTATGCTCTAAAAACATTCTAAATGACTTCGTTTCGAGTAAATTATGGACGCTACCCACTCAGGACACTTGGAATACATTGGACGAGCAGTATGGAGGAATATTGACACGTTTTTTGTGGACTTTTATGGACCTTTCTGCCTCGGGCACCATAGACCTCCATTATTTGAATGTCAGCAGACAGCAAGAAGCCTCCCAGATCTCCAGATGCATTTGAGATATCAAAAAAGTACTCCAGAGTGTTGTTCAGCATGGGGGTGAGTAGAAAATGAAGGCTAATCATGTTTTGGGTGTACTATTCCTTTAAGAGTTTAATTTATGGGATTCAGAGTAAAGAGGCTGAAAACAAATAAAAGCTACATTATTAATTTCATTTATCACCTGATAACCTGAAAATAATTCTTTTAAAGTTGCTGGTATAAAGACAAAATTAACAAAAGGTGCAAGGCAGGGAGTTGCGGCCTAGTGGTTAGGGCATAGAGGTTGTGGGTTTGAAACCCACTCCTACAGACTGCCATTCTGGGTCCCTGAGCAAGACCCTTAAACCCACACTGCTCCTGGGGCACCCACTGCCCCCCAAAAGGAAAGGGTTAAATACACAGAGTTCATTTCTTTGCATCATACTTGTGACAGTGTAATGACATTAAAATCTGAAAAAAAAAAATCTATTTATACTTTTGCAAGTCACCTTATCTGCTTGCAGCTGGAAGGAATCAAAATACCTTTAAAAAGCACACAGGAAGGAAGAAGGTCTGTTTACATCACAGCCAAATTAGTCATAAGCTGCAGGCTGATAATGAGCAGCTTATTAAAGATCATAAAGTAGGTGTGGATGGTTTCCCTTTTGATCTAGTTCAGCCTGTATGAATATTACTGACATAGTTTAGAGGATTTTAGGTCGGGTCATAGTCTGCATCTCCACCCTGTTAGTTTAGTGAAAGGTCACAGTTAACTCCTATTAGTGAGGGTTTTCATAACATCTGCCCAGTGCTGGAAAAGTCAACGCTGCACAAAAACTAATAAAAGAAGAAGAAAAAAAATCAACCAGCCTCACATGATTTCTATTGTGTAACTAAAGCATTGTGGCTTTTAGCCGCTGACTGGTTATGTCACCGCTTCATTAGTCATTTCTAATATTTAGACCAAGGCGTTGTTTTTTTTTGTGATCATCTAAAGCAAAGCGTTATATCACACCCGTCTTCTTGAACATTTGAACCGGGAAGACCCAAACCCAGGAAGGACGCTGCTTCACAGAAGATCGGCTCACCTGGAGAGTACAGGCTGGCCAGCTCTCGGGCACCCGCGTGCTGTGGACCCCACCTGACCGCGCCCCGACCCGGTCCCTTCGGCTGTGCGGTCTCCTCTGCCCCTCCACACCCGTTCTCGGTGACCATACTCGCCATTTCTGTCCACTGAGGGCCCGTCCCCTTCGGTCCTTCTACTCGCAAGCACCGGGAACCAGCAGATTCGTCAACACCTCAGCCGACCTACATCGCAATGTTTTTGACCAATCAGAAACAAAACGGTGAGTGCAGCATCCAATGGCAGTGCGAGGAAATGTTTCCATATTTAGAAAGAGCCAATAGGGAGAAAGATTGCTAGTATTTCATTTCCTGACCCACCCGTGTTCCTTTCAGCTGTAGATGTTAGCGTCACCAGAAGATGGCGCCAGAGGAATGTGACAAGCTTCAGGTTTTGATATGTAGGCCTGTGGGTAAAAATATATATTGAATTATACACTACCGTTCAAAAGTTTGGGGTCACATTGAAATGTCCTTATTTTTAAAGGAAAAGCACAGTACTTTTCAATGAAGATAACTTTAAACTAGTCTTTACTTTAAAGAAATACACTCTATACATTGCTAATGTGGTAAATTACTATTCTAGCTGCAAATGTCTGGTTTTTGGTGCAATATCTACATAGGTGTATAGAGGCCCATTTCCAGCAACTATCACTCCAGTGTTCTAATGGTCAGAGATGGCAAAAGTACTCACTTTCCGTACTTGAGTAAAAGTACAGATACTTGTGCTAAAAAATACTCTGGTAAAAGTGGAAGTACTGATTAAACTTCTTTACTCAAGTAAAAGTAACAAAGTACAGGCTTGTACATTTACTTAAAGTATAAAAGTAAAAGTAGAAACCACTTTTTTCATGCCGTTGCCTACATTTTAAATGGATGTCTGCCAATAGGACTAGATCTCCGTTGTGTTCATTTTCAATCATCTCGTCGTCCATGCTACTATGCTAACGCCACCACCACCAAGCTGCAATGATTTGCCGTGAATGAATACAGCCGAATCTGTCGATTCATCTTGTAGTGGTGCGTCAAATGCAACGTAGATTCCCATCCAGTTAGATTGAATTTGGTATTGATGACGTGAAAAATAATAACGGTAACTCCATTGAAATGATTCAAAACTAAAGTAACGAGCCAATTTTTTAAAATGTAAGTAGTAGAAAGTACAGATATTTGTGTAAAAATGTAAGGAGTAGAAGTAAAAAGTCGCCATAAAAATAAGTAGTAAAGTAAAAATATCAGAAAAATCTACTTTAGTACGGTAACGAAGTATTTGTACTTCGTTACTTCCCATCTTTGCTAATGGTACAATGTGTTTGCTCATTGGCTCAGAAGGCTAATTGATCATTAGAAAACCCTTGTGCAATCATGTTCACACATCTGAAAACAGTTTAGCTCGATACAGAAGCTACAAAAACTGACCTTCCTTTGAGCAGATTGAGTTTCTGGAGCATCACATTTGTGGGGTAAATTAAACGCTAAAAATTGCCCGAAAAAGAGAACTTTCATCTGAAACTCGACAGTCTATTCTTGTTCTTAGAAATTAAGGCTATTCCATGCGAGAAATTGCTAAGAAATTGAAGTTTTCCTACAACGGTGTGTACTACTCCCTTCAGAGGACAGCACAAACAGGCTCTAACCAGAGTAGAAAAAGAAGTGGGAGGCCGCGTTGCACAACTGAGCAGGAAGATACCTTTATTAGAGTCTCTAGTTTGAGAAACAGACGCCTCACAGTTCCCCAACTGGCATCTTCATTAAATAGTACCCACAGTAGCCCTTTTGCATGGAGATTACATTTGTAAAGTACATGGCCACCAGTCAAGCTATCAACAGATAATTCCCCATGAACTGTATATCTCTGTCCAGAGTTAATATCCTTACTTGGTCATTGAGTTTAGGTGGGTAGCTGTAATTTGATTGTTTCAGAGTTGTAATTTAAATGTTTTCACAAGCTTCCCCCCATTTTTTTAATAATTAAAATATAATAAATATGATAAAATACAATAAAATAACCCATTTTACATGTTGATTAACCTTCTCCAAGGATCATCTGAGGCATTCACTGAACAGCTGGAATTATATTATAATTAAATTATACATCAGTGTACTCTTTGAACCAATCTGATGGCTTCTTAGACACTTAGTTACATTAAAGGGGAAAATTGCAAAAACAATTATGAAGATTATGTTACACTTTGTGTCGATTACTTAAAATCTCCATCAAAAACATTTAAGTTGTTGCTTTAAGTGTAACAATTTGAAAAAAAAAATAGATTTAAGGAGTGTGAAGACTTTTGCAGAACTATTAAAAGTTGCATGTACAGAAAGCCCTGTTGCACAGTGAATGTTAGTCTGGACCTGTTTGAGCATGCAGATTCAACAATATAGCAACCATTCAAATATACCATAATATAATATGTAATGGTACCAGGCAGTACATTTAAACAAATAACAATTTAGATGCCCTGAATGTTTATTAATTCAATCTGAAGGCATCATTGACAGGTTTATAGTGTCAGGTTGGTAGGGGTTAATGCCCTTGCAGTGCTGTACAGTCACTGGATGCAATTACAGGATTAATTATAGACTTAAGAGGTAATTTATCAGCTCTCTTTGCAAACTCACAGCCTTCTTATGCAGACACTTTCATAAGAACTATATAAGCAGAACCCTTTAACATAGACACAGGCTTAGTAACATGGTTTAAATGTTGCACCAGACCATTTATCTGGATTTTATAAGGATAACTTGTTGCTGTTTTACCACTGTTACTCATATTTGCTTGCGTTTCCAGAAAAACCTCTAAGCAGAATCATTCTAGGGGACGTCCCACAAAGAGCTTGGGTTTCATCTGCAGGAAGTTGACTTTTTTAAATATAGTTATTATTATTACCCAGGTTCAGCAAAAAAAAATAAAAATCACACTTCGTGTTCTAAAGGTTCGAGGACTGTGTGAATTAATGCACGTTTGTTTGTTGTTTTTTGTTTTGTTTTTTTAAATGAGGCATAACTGTAGTTCCGAACAGAAAGGAGATCTTGAAAAATATATATATTTTTTAAATTAAGCACAAGGGGGCAGTAACACCTAAAAATATAGTCATAAGTCTCTGAATTCTGCATTTCTTTGTACTTTCACATATTCTTTTAATGTATTTGTCACTAGAAATCAATGATCTGATAGAATAACTTATTCAAACAAACACTTTCTAACACTGTTGTCAAAAATTGCAAATATGTATGAAATTAGACCCTGGTTCCAGATCTGAACCTGATTGTTTTCCTTATCTAAATAAGGCCAATTAACAGCATGTAGCTCCTTTAAAAAAGTATTCATATTTTAACCACTGTCCATGCTACAGCTGTGGTCTAATATATTGAGGTTTAATGAGGACTAACACAAAATAGAAAATAATTGTAAAGTGAAATATAAATTAGTCATTGTTTTGTAAATTCATTTTGCAAAATAAATCAGTTCTGCTCTAATTATACACATATTTATAGTCCATCCATGTGTAGTTTACCTGTAGTTCTAAATGTAGAGAAGTTTGAGTCATAAACACTGTCTAAAGCTTTAAACAGAGAGCTTGGTCAAATCCGTCAACTATGAAGGAAAAGAGGGCAGCAGAGCTATGAGATGTGGCCGTCCCCTCGCTATAGGCCAGGCAAAGATAGCCAGCATAACCACGGTGACTCTGAAAAAGCTGCAGACACCACAGGTGGAAGAATCTATTAACTCCACATTCTGGCCTTTCTGGAAAGGTGACAAAAAGGAATTTTTCCAAGAAGCCATAAAAAGTTTTATTTGAAGTAGGACTGAAACAACTCATCGGATTAATCGATTATTGAAATAATCATCAACTATTTTAATAATCGATTAATCGTTCAATGGAGTATAGACTGTAAAATGTGCCTTTAGCTGACAGAGTGACCCACTTAACATTTTGCATTTGGGTATGCAAATCCAACATATTCGTCTTACAATAGTTCAACCAAAATCTTCTTAAAGGAACCTTTGGCTATCTGATTATTAATTGATTATTTAAAAAAATTATAATAATCAACAGATTAATCGATTTGCAAAATAATTGTAAGCTGCAGCCCTAGTTTGAAGCTTACCTCAGGCCGTTTTGGGGAACTGTTGCCTTTCAGCAAAACAGTACATAAACATATGTAAGACAATGAAAAGTTTTGACTTTGTGTAAAAGATTGTGTTTTTTAAAACTAGAGCTGCACATCTCTTTAGAACAATAATCCTTGCTTGGAAACATGACGGTGGAAAAGTGATGCTGGGGAGATCCTTTTTCTCTTTAGAGAAAGTAAATCTAGTCAGAATGCATGGCTGTCCACCCGCTATAGTTGAAAAAAATAAAGAATTCAGATTGGAGGACAACAGATGTGAACAAAGTTAGAGCTGTAATGGAATCACTTAGGGATAAAAAGGACAATCAAAAATCAGTAGGATCGATTATAAATGCATATTTACAGACCATCCCAACCCAGTTTGAATGAGCTTAAGCTATTTCCCTAATTTCATAATTTAAATCTCAAGATGTGCAAAAGTGTTTGAGATTCACCAAAAAAGACCTCAGCTGTAATTGCAACAAAAAGCAGCTCTATAGCATGTAAATTTAGGAAAGCTGACACATGCCGCACTTTTCAGATTTATGTTGGTAAAAGAAAGAAAAAAAAATAAGAGCAAACAAAACAAAAATAACAATACATATCAACTGATTAGGTAACTTTTTTTTGGTGTATTCTGTTCTTGTCCTTTTAATTAATAGCTGTAGCATTTTTTATTTTTATTTTTTTTTTTTTGGTAGTTTTTATTAGGGGCCCAATATTTAATACACATTTTATGGCAGTATATTCCTCCACATCCATTAGACAATTACAGAGACCTTATCTATGCACTGAGTTGTGACAGACATAAACCAGACAGACTGAGTTGCTCCTCACGCCCACTCTGACCTTTATACAGATTTAGAGATTTCTCCTCCAATGCAAGGTACCCCTGCTCAACACTATTTTTTTCCGTCCGCTACTGATGAAATAAAGAGGGTGGAAGTTGTGGTAAAGAAGCTGCCTTATGATGCTGTCACTGTTATGATCTCATTACGTGTGAACTTCATAGTGAAAAACATGTTTTCACTATGAGGTTTATTTTTTTTTTCCATTATGGTAGACCTTTGAGGAGAGACTGAGCAGCAGGGGGCGTCGGTGGACAGAGGAGATGTTTATGGTCAGAGTGAATGGGGTAGTTGCTGTTGCTTTTGTATTTTCGCTTTTATTTATTGCAGTTTCATTTTAGAATAAATCATTAAAATATTTTAATTGGTTTCTCTATTTCCTTGGATGTTGCAACTTTGACACTGAACTAAAATGAGGTTCAGTATCACAGCACATGCAGAAAGCCGACGGTTCTAGACCCTGTTCTTCAGATTTATTTATTTTTTAAACTCCATTACCAGTTTGGCATGAACCCTTTTCTTTGTGTTCCGTCTGGAACACAAAGAAACAACGGCAACCAGGGACCCTGTCAAGGGGGTCCAAGGTAGGCGATAGCCACCCAATCGATGTGATGGGGTAAACTGCATGCCCCCTGATCAGTTAGTCATAAATAACATTTATATAATCATGCATTTAGAAGAAAATAACAATATGCAATGATTGCAATATCTCTTTATTTGTTTATTTAAGTAAAAAATACATCCATCCATCCATTTCCCTTCACACTTATCATGGGGTCACGGTGTTGATCGTGCCTATCTCCAGCTGTCAATGGGCGAGAGGCGGGGTCCACCCTAAACAGGTCACCAGTCTAACGCAGCTCAACACAGAACAGCACAGGACAAACAACAATTCACACAAACACACGTCTAAGGTGAATTTACCTAAGCCAATTAACCTAACAGCCACGTTTTTGTACTGTGGTAGGAAGCTGGAGTACCCAGAGAGAACCCACGCATGCACAGGGAGAAGATGCAAACTCCATGCAGAAAGACCCCGGGCCTGGTTAGGGTTAGGGTTAGCCCCATCATAATATCATTTTTCAAATATTTAAATAAACAATTAGGACAGTTACATTATTATTAAATTAGGGGCACCATAACCTTTAGTATGAACAAAAACACTTATTTTCTAAAAAATAAAGTTAAATATACAACCAATAGCAACACATTTTAGCTTAGATCTGTGGAACTCTGGCCCACAACATCACAAGCAAGAGGACTGTTTGTAGAGTGCTATATATTATGTAAAGTTTAGTGGAGGAAAACAATGTGGAAGGAACACAAGTGATTGAAACATCCTTTGGGAAACTCTAAACCAAATGTAATTCAAGAGTTCAGTAAAATGAGAGACACCAGACCAACAGATGAGCTGAAGTCATCAGGTGATCATATACATGTCATGCCTTTATTACTGAGGTGTTCATACACATGGAACAGCAACCAAGATGTGTGCACATACTTTGTACATCGTCTTCATTATAATCTTTGGTTTCTGCAGTCAAAATCACGGACTTGAGTAAACACCATTAAATAACGTCAACAGAAGACGCGGTTCTCTGAATCATCACTGCCTGAAGAGCCTTTATACTCCTTTAGTCTCTGGAATATCAATTTCAAAATAAATGCTAATCTGCAGTCTAGTTTTTATTTTGTTTGTTTTGTTTTTCTCAGCCCAGGGAAGATTAATGTGTTGCTTAACCCAAAGGATGCAACAGTTGTGGCCCATGTCCTGGATATTTCTGTGTATGCTGGCCTCTTAAGCACTCAGTTTAGCTGTCTGGACCTTGTAAATATCCACTAAACTCTTAAAAACGTTTTGTTTCATAATTCTCTTGGGGCTGCGATTGCAGCCATTTCTTGTAGACATTCTTCCAGCACAAACTGCTTCTTCCATTTTTTTTACAGTGTGTTTAACGTGGCTGACTCCTTATCAGATGTTAATAAGTCTGCTGCTCATGTGCTCATAACTAAAGCGTATTTTTTTAAACTAACTTTTTTATTGATCTCCTGTAATTACAGATTATTTTTTTTATACATTAGCTGTATACAAGGGTGTAGGTTTGATTTTAACTTATAGGGACACTATTGGTCTGATTTAATTGGTCCTGTGCAAAAATATGTATGCTCGTTTTTTTATGGTTAACGGGGAAAATTAGAGTATATTTTGTTCAAAGAGAAAAGCAGCATTTCTTGCTACATTTATACAAATTTTAAAAGCACTACACACACTAGAAGCTTTTTATCAATGACTGAAGCTTAACTGGCTCTAATGAATGAGGAATTAGGACTTTTTTCCACTTTGAAAAAATTACCAGCAACTACGGTAAGACAGAAAGTAAATCTGTGCCTATTTAACAGAATGTAGTCTAAATATGTCTGTTATATGTGGATTTATACTTTTTTTTTATTTTGAAGATATAGAATTGTGCGGAGGTAAATAGAGGTAAAACCCACTCTTTTAAATGTTCTCTTTGTATCATGAAACAAAGCGAAATAATAGGTTCAAAGGACGCCAAATAAATGTTTTGTATTTACATGAACTCTGCAACTAGAAGAGGAACTGACACTTAGCATTTAATATATTAACCTCACTCTACAAGTTGTACATCTAGGATGTAAATACTCTGTTTACCCATTTCATGTATTTTATTTAGGTTTGAAACAATTCACTGGATTAATCAATTATTTAAATAATGTCAACAAATTTAGAAATCGATTAATGGTTAACTGGAGTATAGAGACTCTAAAACATGTCTTTATCTCACAGAGAGAACCGCTTAGAGCAGGAATTATACCAAAATTGTAAAATAAATAATTAACATTTTAGATCAAACATGTTTTTTTCTGTGAATATTATCCATCTAGAACCCCTCTACTGCTGCAACAAAGCTGTATTATAAATTATAAACATGTTATTCACATTTAATTGTTGGTGGGGACAAGTAGGCTGTATAGTTCAAATGAATAGATACAGTATAAAGGCTTGGGAGGTTTGAATGTGTGCAATGCTTCTACTTGAGTTTCACTTTCTGAAGTAAAGAAATACTGAAACAAACTGACATTTCAATTATATTTTTATAAAGATCAAGATGAAAATGTTTGTTTTGAACGTCTTCCGGTGCAAAATCGACACATTTATAGCGGGAAATAACCTGTACAAGTAGTACAGGTTGTTCAGTTGATTCTTGCGTCACACACCTGCCCAATTTGGCCCCGCCCTCCCGCTCTGAATAAAACCCCCCCAAGAGACAGGAAGATCTGTCAAAGTGAAGCCTCCGCAAACTTATTACTGCGTGTTACCACAGGCAAGGGAGACAGAGGAGGATTTAAAACGCAGCGCATTCCCGACGCGTTTCACAACTGCTGTCAGGGCGCCTGAACTCAGCCCTGCGCGCGCCTGCAACCCGGCGGCTCTTTAGATCCATGGAAGTGGCCGGCTTGTACGAGGAGGGCGGCTTCGCGATCCACGGCAGAGACGGGGTCATCGCTCCCATCGGCGGCGGCTCGTACTGGAGGATCGGCGACTCAATGACGGAGCTGGGTGTGGAGGAGCGGGAGAGAGCCATAGACTTCAGCGCGTACCTGGACTCAGCCCTGCACTGCCCGCAGCAGCAGCCGCAGCAGCAGCAGGGCGCACAGCTCTCCGACTACCTCGGGGATAGTAAGATCAAAAGAGTCACGGCTCTCCACAACTATAAAAACTACTCTCTGCTGAACGAGCTGGAGGCGAGTCAGTGCGATAAGTTGCGGGAGCCCTACGGACTGGCTTATACGGAGCTGCAGGAGACCCGGGTGGACGGCGTGCTGAGCGCGGAGCTGGTGGGGAGCCGCTACCGACCCACCGCTCCAGCAGACAGGGAAGACAGCCAGGAAGACCCCAAAATGGAAAACGGCTCGTCTGGTTTCGACATGAGGTCCTACCTTCATTACCAATCCACCAGTGGGAGTCTTGGGAACATTTCCACCGCGTCCTCGACCTGTTCCAGCCCGCCCGGCACACCTGCGCCGTCAGGTAGCAGCAGGTCGCCGTCGCACGGCGGCAAATCGTCCGGAGGCAAATCAAAGAAACGCCTGGATAAGGACAGCGAGGAGTACCGGCTGAGGCGGGAGAGGAACAACCTCGCCGTGAGGAAGAGCAGGGACAAAGCCAAGATGCGCAACATGGAGACGCAACAGAAAGTGCTGGAGCTGGCTGTGGAGAACGACCGTTTACAGAAGCGCGTGGAGCAGCTGTCCAGAGAGTTGGCCACCTTGCGCAACCTGCTCTCTGCAACCGGACAGTGTTAGACACCCTGCTGGACTTTACACATGTTGAAAACATGGGGTACTACTCACCCACCGGTTTACAAGGACACAGAAAGAGACTGAACAAAGTGGGTGCATGGGGTTGCGCAACCATCAACGACTCTTCCTTCACATGTCAGCTTAGCTTTATTCTCAGATGTCAAATTTTATATATATGTGTGTGTGTGTGTGTGTGCAGTATTTCTGTGCAGGTTTCACATCCATTCCTTGTGAATTTCTTCATTTTGTGTACACTGTGTCTGCAGCAATGGCTGTCAGGGGAAGAGTTGTGCTGCAGTGAAATGATGCAACTCTTTGAAATAGTATTGCCAATGAATGAAATAAGTCTAATTATTTAATATTGAAAGGTGAAATGCTTTAATTGTACTTGATATTTTATTGAATTAAACAGATTTATACTTTGGTTAAAGATTTTCGCTTGTTTTTTTCTTATTTTCTTTGTTTACGCCATGCTTTATAGGCTTGCCTAATATCCATGCTCATCATGGTCTGTGTAACAGCACGTTTAAAGTTACAACATATTGCAGTGACACAAGAAGCTTAGCTGCAGGAAAAATGTGCAATTTCCAACTTCAGTTAGGTTTATTCAACATAGAGACAATTCACATCAACTGTAGCGGATGAAACAAATCCAGCTATGTAGATTCACACTAATAAAAGGTCATATTATAACATAAACACCAAAAAACAACTTAATTTGCACCAATATCCCATCCTGAGAAAACATACTACAAATGCATTTATTTTGGCAAGTAACTTCTTCAAATTCATACATTTACAAGAAAAAGTAAATGCATTCAACATGCCTTATGCAGTATGAGCAACTTATTTGCTTTAACCTCCTAAACCAGACTCCTTAGGCGCCTTAACTGGCAAGTTTCTGTTTGACTTAATGATTTGACACAAAGTGCACTGATCCTGAAATAAATCCAGCCAATTTATACTGAAATGATACTGCTGAGAGCAGCAAAAAGCAAACGAAAAAAGACTTGGTCACTTTTGCACACAGCACAGAAACGCTCGCTTTATCTTTAGCGCGAGGCTCTGTCAATAGCCTGCTGGGTCCACTGGCCCAGAGAGGGGTTCAAGGTCGCATGGAAATTAATCAGCAACTAACCTCACCGCACTACCTGCTGAGGTCACACCTGATCAGCCGACAGGACTGGCTGGTTGGTGGCAAAGGCGATATGTTAGAGAATTTAAGACAGGATAGGAGTCAGCAGGCACAGCTGATAAGCTGACCAATGGCTTCATGGTGGAATTTACCACCATGAAGCGCTCAGACTGCGTTTTACTGTGTGCGCTATGAATCGTATCTACATGCAAGCAAAAGCCCAGAGGAGAGCAGATAAAGACAAGGAGTGTGACGTGATTTAAGCAAGTCAGGGTGGGAAGTAAAACCTACTACACTTGCGGGGGGAAAATTGTGTTGCAGTTTAACATAGAAATGGAGCACAGAAAGGAGTGTTGCACTGTTTGTGCAGTGGGAGATCATACTTTGGATGTTTCAACACAGTCATTGATGATTTGGTTAGCTTTTATGGGTTGTGCAACATCCTCCCTTTTCCAACACATAGAAGAATGTTACACCCACATAAAAAAAAAACAAAAAAACACATTGTTATCCTGCTTAACAATAGCTGTAAGGAGTTGTGGTTTTGGCTTCCGGCCCTCTGGTATGAAAAGAAGTGGAGCAAATGACATCTATCATATAAAAGCTCCCTTAGGAATCAGATTTCATTCCTCCAAATTCTCCCTGAAACAGTTTGAGGATTCTTTGAAACATCTTTTTCTTCGATGACCCCACCCCCCTACGGTCGATTTCCCAACGCCGCCACAAGCGATCCCACTTCAGCTTCTGGCCCCCCTCAAGCTAGAGGGGGAAATTCCCACACAGGATGACCTCCTCTCTACAGAGTTCAGTCCGGCCCTCTTTCCTCGTTTTACCGTCAATGGGCAGTGCCTGTCTGTAAAAAAAACTCCTTGTTGCATCACAACCCCTCCAAACTGGTCTGCTAAAAGCTCCTCTGATAAACCAATACAAACACACACACAAAAGCACACACCTGTCATCCCAGTGTCTTTGCCAGTGTTGCAATGAAGGACATTTTTTCTTCTATGAGTCATAAAGTAATGTAATAAATTGTTCCTCAAACCACTTTGCTTACATTGTTGTACTGATTTAGGAACATAGCGTCACAAAGATGATATATAACTCCAGTTATATTAATTATTGTTATCATTTAGTTAAAAACATCACATGTTTTACATCTTCAAGTCATAATTTTGGATAGCTGATATGTTCTCTTTTCCTCTTTTAAAACTGATTTGTAAAATACAAAAATAATAAAATATAAATCATCAAAGTAGACCGATATGTGAACTTTAACAGTCACATTACAGGGTGCCTTAACTTTTTTGGCCCTAAATCCCTTTAAAAGTTAGACATTGTGCTTAGATCCAAAGTAATTCAGCAGCAAAAGAGTAAAAAAAAAAAAAAAAACAGATCTGTCTAGAAAGCCATTTCTATAGCTTCCAGCGAACCACAAGATACCCGTTATCTACAAATGACAAGAGAATGGAGCCGTGATCAACCTTTTCAGGAGTGGACGGCCAACCAAAATTATTCCAACATAGCAATGACTCATGAAAGAGTTCAGAAAATACCTAACAAAAACATCCAACAAGGTGCAGGCAGGCTTCACTTACCTAAGCTAAAGTTAGTGTTTATCCCTCCACCATAAAAAAGAGACAATGATGGCTAAATGGCAGTACTCCAAGATCAAACCCACTGCTGAGCAAAAAAAAACAAACATTAAGGCTTGTTTTGTTTACTGTCTGGAAAGGATCTTGATGATCCACAAGACTTTTTAGGCAAACAATCTTTGGACAGACAACACAAATGTTGGATTTTTCAGAATGTGGGTGTCCCATTAATACCAACAGTAAAGTGGTGGTGGGGCTGTTTTTCTTGCTTTAATTAGACTTGCTTTAATTAATGGTAGGAAG